GTTCGGGATCTGTCATTTATTTTCTTTAGCTTCAAGCAAATGAATTTCACTCGCTTTTGTGTTGCTCCATGCCTATTGTTCATTATTAGCCTTGGTTGTTTACCTTCATTGTGTACCGTCGGTTGTCCGCAGGCTGTCGGTGTTCTTGCGTCTTTTTTAACTAAACAACTAATCATCCATCCGTCAATTTCCCCATTATTATGCATTTCCTTTAGCATCTCCTTCACTTTCCTGTTGATCTTTAACGTTGAATCCTTCGTTAGTTTTTGATCATTGTTCCAGAAGCCTAGAATATCTCCTGTTCATTACCATCATCGCTCCTCCCTTATCTGCCTGAGCAACTATTTGGCTATTCTTTTGTAGATTTTTCCGTATTCTCGTCAATCTGTTCCTGGTTATTGAAATGTGCCGCGTTTCTTGAGATTATTTCCATTTCCATCTCCCGCATTGTCTCTTCTGAACATTTTTCCTATATGTTCACAACCTTCACAAAAATATATCTTTTAAAACGTTTCCTTCGTTACTTGGGGAATACTTTATCCTTCTCTGAAGATCCATGGCTTCAGAATCAAGAGAGATTGAGGATAATTTCTCTACCTTTTCCTCATAGTTCTTGTAAGGAGTTGGTGCCGTTAATACGGGAACATCATGATTTGATGTCTTATTATCCCATATCTGAGCAATTTCTTCTCAATTCGCTTAGTTATCAAATTCCGGACCTTTGTGACTTCTGGTCGGCCATACTCTGGAGTTTTTGAAAATCATTTGAATTAAGATCATTCCTTCAATCCTTCTCAATCGAGACTTGATATTTATGGACTTAACTAGCTTAAGCTTCTCAGTCTCGTAACTTTCCTCTTATTTTTGGATGGAGGCGTGATAAAGAGTATTTCATTAACTGTCTCTGAATGTCAGCTCTTCATTAGTTTGCAGAGACTGGTAACAATACCATAATATTTCCAACAATTTGTGTAATGCCTGACGCTTCAAACGCCGTTTGGCTCTGATTCCCGCCGAGTGTTGATCAAAAATTGTAGCCAACTTCTTAACAAAAAAGTTACATTTTTTCAAGGGCCATTACTCAGGGCTTTCGAGATGCGAGCTCTGAGTAGACCACCATTCAAACTCGCCATACTACTCATATTGGGCCGAGTAATCTAGGCAGACCAGTGATTTTGTCGAATTACTCTTGGAGACTTTAGAAGATAATTGGGGTGGCTGAATGGAAAATTGCTTTTCTCTGCCCGCTTCAACGAAGAAGCATGAATAAAGTGAGGTATATTGAATGCAAATGAAAAGAAAAATTCACGAATTGCTGAGAATGAGTAATGATTTTATATGATTATTTGCATCTGCAGTCCAAATGGGGATAGGGTTTACTGATGCCGTTCATACGCCATCATCGCGGATATGCAGATGTTTTGTTGGATAGGGGCAGAACGATTTCCATGTCAGATTAAATCAAACAGTTACCCAATTAGGCTAGTTTCTCTTTGTGAACGAGAACTTAAATAGCAGAGGTCGCTTTGGTTGATTCAAAGAATTATGGTTGAGTTTTAAAAAAACAATTCATGTTCTAGGTTCAATATGATTGGGACCCTGCCTAGGCATTATCGTCGCCCACCGGAGGTGGAGAATATGTATAAATTTAATAAATATGTGCACTAATAATGCACTATACAAAAATATTAATTTACATCAAAATTTTATTCACGTCCGTGGTGGCCTACGATTGCAGCCTAGCCTAAGCCGCAATGGCAACTAACGAAGACGGAGAATATAGTTACGTATTTGTTTGTATTTTACAGATATTTCATAATTTTATACTATATATAGTATATTATTTGTACATATATCGATTATATTTATACATATTCTCCACCTCCGGTGGGTGGTAATATATATATAGTATACAATTATGAAATATCTGCAAGATACAAATAAATACATTATTATATTCTTCATCTTCGTTAGTTGTTGATGCGGCTTAGGCTAGGCTGCAATCGTAGGCCACCTCGGACGTGAATATCAATTTATCAGACAAGACTGAGTAAAATTCAGTGGTATCCGGAGCCATAGTAATCTGATAATGGAAAAACCCAGCCTTAAAGGATCTGGCCTAATTAAGTTGTTATTCGAGAATTAGAGCTATTCTTGAAACCCAATTATGCCATGAATAGAGTGAGTGAAGTAAAATACGAGGCTTTATTACCTTTTCCTCATTGTGCTTTTTTTGGGGGGAGGCGGAAGCAGGATAAGATCATGTCTGAAGGAGTGATTTCCAAAGCCGCACTGGATCGCGAACTGGCCAATAGTTACTGTCAAAGAGATTAGTTTACAAACACCATACTACTCGTTGACATATGAGTAGTTTCCGCATTAAAAGATGTGGCTTCTCTCGTTGATCGTTTAATTTTTGAGAGTTTAGATGAGATATTTACATTCTCTATTATTCTCTTCTCTTTTTGATCCTCCCTTTCACGATGTGATCACCATTTTTTGTCTCCGCGTTTATTCTGTAAGACGCAGCCGGGCAGTCCAGCAGATGGGGTGCTTCATCGTGGCGACGCGATTCTCACCATCAACGGTCAAAAAACACGTCAACTTAGCCACCAACAGGCGACGGAGGCCATCAAGAATGCGGGCACAGAACTCAATTTGCTTATTATCAAGTAAGTTAACTGACAGACCTGTAGACTCAGGTATCAGCATCATTATCATCATCATCATATCAACTAGGAGTTATAGTCACACTTGAGCTGATAGTTGAGTTTTCCCGCAAACTATTGAGTAGACTTCACGTTTCTAATGAAAAATAATCAGCCTTGCCTGCAAAAAAGCATCCTTAACGGAAATCGAGGCCTGATTGATGGGACCTTGACAGGGTCCCTTTTGGGAAGCA